TTCAGATATTATAGAGGCAGTAAATTGAAGTGAGTTTAAAAAAAAGCTTTATAAGTATATGAATGAAAAGTGCTGGGTTTAAAATTTTCTTAATCATTCTAATTTAGTTTTGAGGATGGAACAGCCGAGATGGACCAATAGGTCCATGTTGTCCCAAAATATTATGTTATGTTATGCAACCCAATAATATTAAAAATTTACTTTAAGCAGTTATCAGGATAACGTAACAAAAGCAACATCAGACATGAAAGAGTTAAGAAAATTCTTTGTGTAAATAAATTAAAATTTGATTCTAACAAAAGTAAAAACAAGCATCGCATGTTTTGGTATTTAAATCATTTATGGCTCTTGGATAATGAAATCAAAAATAAAATGTTTCTCAGTACATGTTTCAATTTTTAAAGTTATTCTCCATGGTCTTTATATGCACATATTTGCAAAACTTATTGGAAAGTAGTACAGATGTTAATGAATATTTTGTGACCATAAACTCCAGAAAACTCGTGTACATGGCAGATGTTTAGCACTGTATTCTTATGTCAGTAAATTACATTTGTGTAATAAAATTATTGTTTGCTATCGGTCCATTCTTTATTACTAGTGGTAAAGATGAGACCATTTATTGAAAGAAAATTATGTGCTGTTACTCATTATTTTTATGCGTATTATTTCAACATGCACACTTTGAATTTTTACACTTATTGACAGTAGTTGATATAAGTATTTTTTGCAATATTATGAACAAATGTTTATGTTTTTGTATTGTTTTACTAGTATGGATTAGTTGAAACCTTAGATTGGATGTCTTGTATTAATATTATAAGGTTAATGGCATTTGTAGATAATGATGCATGTTGATATGTATTACATAACATAGGCCAGTTTGTTTAGAAATAAGAAGTGTTACTTTTTTTTTAACAGGCTGATGAAGATTTTACAAATTTATGCAAGGCCCCCAAGATTCTCCCTTCTTGCATATTTACATTGAAGAAGAAAATTGTTTCGTAGTATTTTTCTTTCATAGATTGAGAAATTTTTCATGCATCAAGATAAGAGTGGTAGTATATTTATTTACCTCAATAGATGGGCTTTTCATATGTTATTACTGTATTTTTTATTTTACTTCCTTCCATATTATGGATTGGATTTCTGATCCTTAAAAGAAATAATTTTCTAATTGTTTTTCAGAAGAAAGATCTAGAATACATGAATTTCTCAAACATTATTCAGCATCATAAAATGATATAAGATAGTTTTAAACTTAGGAAATTCAGCAAGCCATTTTATTTTCATTGTTTTGTATTGTTTTCATTTAGTCTTTTAACTGTAAGAAACTTGTATTGTACACTTTTCCTCTGAATATCAAACAACTCATCTTGTTTTTATAATATTTATGTAAATTACAATACTCTTTTTTTGTTTTCATGATTAACAAATTTAGAAGTTTGGACTTTTAGAAAAATCAAACAGATATATGCTTCATTTTTATTGTTTTAGTTATATATGTTTTGTTCTTCTGGAATTTACTAGTTTGAAATGATAGATACTTATTTTTGAAAAAGTATTACACTGAACTTGATGGAATTGAAATAGATCTCAGACTTTATTGCATTTAAAATACTTTTGTATGATTCTATCTGTGATATATTTACAAATGATTTCAAAAATATAGATTTCAGCAGTTACATTTCTATTTCTAAACAAAGTACAAATTTTAAACTATCCTGTGATATGTGCTGTGCTGTAGTTGGTATGTTTGTATTATTTGCATGTTATAAAGAATGAATTTCATCAAATAAAGATGTTTGTATTGGTAAAATTTGTCCAGAGATATTTTTTCTTGAAAAATATAAACAGTGTTTTGATATCTTGGCTGGTTAAATGTTCAATTAATCTTGTTACAAAAAAGGTTATGATTTATCTTAATTGTAGCAACATTTTGACATTTTACATGCGATCAATAATTTTTTGTTTGCTCGAAACATAAATATGTTATTAGTAATTCATATGAGACAACATGAAGTATTAACTGGTAATTTAAAAATATAAGTGGAAGTCTTGAAATAAGTTTCAAAGCATCTTAAAAACTAAGACACTATATGGAGTACAGGCCAAAAAACACCATTTGATATCTAAAGGTAAGACCAGTTTTTACAGTGCATTTATTTATCAAGCATAGCAACTTCTCTTCAAATTAGATGTAGAACTTTAACAAATGCTTATAGCTTTTTAGTTTGTCAGTTGAAGATACCTGGTGCTTCATACAGTCTTTGGTATGATTGATATTTATATCCTCTTCCCGGGTTTAATTACGTAATATGTTTTCTGTTTTTGTCAGTTTTATTTGCTTCAAGGCTGCTTTTTGCCAAAGGTTTTAATATCTTGAGCCTTACAAGTGATTTTTCTGTTTAGATAAGGAACTTGTTTGTTTGTTGCATTTTCACATACTGTAAATAATGGTTGGAGACGGCTTGAATGGGTAATGAAGAAAAATTTTAATATAAGTTTAACATAACAAATGTACAACGTTTCGACAAGGTTTTGTCATCATCAGGTATCAAAACCTTGTTGAAACGTTGTACAATTGCTGTTATGTTAAACTTATATTAAAGTTTTTCTTCATTACCCATTTAAGCCGTCTCCAACCATTATTAGTCTCAAAGTGGGTTCCTCGTCATCGAATTTGAATTCATCACATACTGTAAATATATAACTTTTCTATTTTTAATAACTCCTTATGAAAATACATCTCATCAACAAATATCAGTTTTGCTCAGTCCTTCAATAGTAGACCCACGTGCTAATAGTCTGAGTAATCTCGTCTTTTATCTTTCTTGTATTTTAGATTTTTTCATATCAATAATTTAAGAGATGTAGCATCTTCTAGGCTCGTAAATTTATTCCTTAGTTTCTTTTCAGAATGTTGCCACAATTCTACTTCTTATAGGGTTAATATTCTTCTTCTAGGAGTATTTTTTTTAAGTTATACAAAGGTTCAGTGCATTATATGAAAACGACTTTGGATCATCATCACGTCGTTACAGTTCCTGTCACAGCATCTGGCTATTCATGCACTATCTGACGACCGCGCATTTTGAAAATAGCCCTGCAGCATAGTTTAAATTGCCAAAAGATCTGTTTGAAGGTTGTCATATCGAAGTCACACAATCCTCCTAGCATGCATTCCCATAATCCATTTAGTGTCCAAGGACAACGATTTCCCAGCGCCTGTTTTAATAGTCCAATTTCCTAGAAAACCATAGATGCTGCATCCGTCGACGTAACCGATTTGTCTTCTTATGGATTAGCATGATTACCAGATTCATTGTCTAGATGATTGAGATATGCGGCTGTTGAATGGATATGTAGTGGGAACAAATTGTTATAAGTAATTCGATTATGTAGCGTACTGTTTCCTGGGTTACGTGGGCGGCTTTTACTACTAATTTTTGTGTTTGTGGATTCTCACCTATTACAAAGCGTCACACTTTGTTTACCACGACTTGTTGCAGGTTTCTTTCTGAATGGTTCCGGCACCCCTAATCTCATCCATACTCATTAGGTTTGCATTTAAATACAAGGGAAATTCCTATCTTGAAATCAACCCCCCCCCATCTGAACACATCTTCATGATCTGAGTATATGAATATTTAGCGTTTGAAGGAGATGTTCCATACTGTTCTCATAATCGACCAATTTTCGATGGCATCACACAACATATGAACGCCAAACAATTCCAAAATGTTATTCTGTGCTATCGAGTCTTTGTATCAGCCATAACTGTAACGTGATTTACTGGTTTAATATGACGTGCCCAACCCTCTGTGTTTAATTGCCACCACAAAACCCACACTTTATTCATACACTATTTACGTTAAAACATTTTGTGCATATTTGAAATACCTTCAAAATAATAATATAATAATAGTATAAACTCGTATGTATACTTGATGTATGATTTCGTAAGACATTGGGTGTTTTGACTCTGTTTTATTTCTTCAGCCACGAAAATAGGTATTTATCTCGGCTCCTGTAGCGCATTTCGGTTGCGTCTTGTCTATTTAACCATGATATCCAATGAGGATTATTTAAAATGAATATTCAGTGATATGTTATACATGTAACAAGGTGTGAGCTGGCATTTCTTTATACTGAACTAAATAACAGAGGAAAAGGGACGTAAAATATAATGAATAATAACAAAAATGAAGTAATACCATGTTGCATAACAACCCGTCAATCAATAGCAAGATTTAAATGTAATTAAGCAATTCTGACTGAACAAGTTTAATATTCTGTTCATTACTAATCACGCTTAGAATTATTTTTGAAGGAGGAACAGTTCGATATTGACTAGGAATTTCAATTATGCCTGTAATTGGAGTACCAAGGTTTGATTCTTCGTCTGGTTGCTACGAGATGTGTCACTAAATATATTAAAGTACTCTTACATCCAGACAATTATTTTTTGTTCCACCACGTTTAGTTATACACAATTATCTGTTCAGTTAATGAATGGTTAGAGCATATTATGTTATTTGAGGGCATGTCTTCATTTTGAAAAATCAGTAAACAGATAACCCTCGAGCAGCTTTGTGCAAAATTCAAGAAAACAATCATGACTGATTTATTAACTTACGTGTTAGTAGGGGTTATTGAATGGAATAACATTAGTTCATTGTTCATGTTCTTAATTTTTTGTCACAGTTTAACGCTTCGTACCTTTGTTTTTCAGAACAAAGTTTACTATTTACTAAAACAATAGGGTAGAGTAAAAAGAATGTTTTTTTTTTCTCGTTTCGCCGTCTGGTGGTAGGTAAAGTCAGGTCGACAATTTTCGGTTTCGACGCTGTTTGATTTACTTTATCATTGAGTATTGATAAATTATTTTTTATAGGTACACAGTGCACTAAACGTATCCCAGAAACTTGTCAGTTTTGAAAAAAAAAAGTCAAAGTAAGTCATTTTGCTACATTAAGGTTTTCTTCTTTTCTTATCAGAAAACCACTCCAAAAAGAAATTAAGGTTTTTACAAAGAATGAAGAAACAAGAACATTGTATGGCTTACCAGACTGGGGTGTAAGTAGAAGGATTTATTTAGGCTTGACGCTCATACCTCAATACTTTAAACAGACTTTAAAGCTAAATAATTTTAATTTTCTTATTACTTTTGCTAATCAATAATAATCAAAATTGTGCATGCTTATTTTACTGAAGTAGAAAAGTTGTACTTTGTAATTACCATTCACGAAGCAGAGTAAAAAAATGATAGCCTAGTAGTTACCAGTCATGAAATGAAATAAACAAGTAATAGTCCTAGTAGTTACCTGTCATGAAATCAAATAAACAAGTAATAGTCATAGTAGTTACCAGTCACGAAGTGAATTACATGTATAGAAGTGATATACCTAGTATGTACCAGTCACGAAGTGAATGAACTACACGAGTAATATACCTAGTAGGTACTAGTCATGAAATGAAATAAATAAACGATAAACTAGTATTTATCAATCACAAAGTGAATTATAAAATTGATACACCTGGTAGTTACCAGTCATAAGGTGAAACATAAACTTGATACACCTGGTAGTTACCAGTCATGAGGTGAAATATAAAATTGATACACCTAGTAGTTACCAGTCATGAGGTGAAATATAAAATTGATACACCTAGTAGTTACCAGTCATGAAATAAATCTCACAAGGTGACAAAGATGATTGCTGACAGTTTTGAATTGAAAAAAAACCATTCAATTGTTTATTGTAAACAGTTTGTTTCACTAATTAGATGATGGTTTAGATTAAGGATTTCCAAATTTCGTGAGTCGCCAATAATATAGAATATTGACTAATCTGTTACAGGAGAACTAAGTTTACCATCGCGAAAAGAATGAGAAAAATCTAAACTGTATTAGAACAAAGAGTAAACTGATCTTAGATAGTACTTAATCAAATACCAAAATGACTCAATGTGTATAGATTCCAAAAAACAGTGATTTTATAAAATCAAGTTTCTTCTCTATTAACTTTATGAAATATTCGAAGTAAAACAGATGAACAGATGCTCTTCAGTATAATATTTTCATTAACTTAACGTGTGATCTTATGATCGCTTTTTAGGAGACTGCTGTCAATGGAAGCCATCTTTGGGTCACCAGCACGACATCTGGAGACATGTGTTACGTTGGAGAAAACGACTGTTCGGTAAGTTGTAGTTACTTTTATTTCAGTAACGTTACACATCTTAAACCATGGGCGTTATCGAGTTAATAAAAGAAGAAACACAATGTAAGTGCTGATATTTATTAAATGAACGCTGCGATACAGCTGAAGAAGGACTTAGCATAGAGACTGGAATGCCGTTAAAAGAAAAGAAAACGCATGAGGTAGTTTCCGGTTCATACAAAATTACCAAAGATGCTCAAATCACTATTAAATCTACACAATAATAAAATAAAGCAAGAAGTGTTGCATGTTGCTTTGTAGGAGCGCCATTGTAGCGAGAAGTGTTACATCTTTCTTTGTAGGAGCCCCATTGTATTCAATTACGTCTGATGTAAATTTTTACTTTTATTTCAGAATAACGAAGATGGTTAAATAAAGTCTGATAACATCATTACAGTATTTATATTATTTTATTGTTACGTGTTATTGTTTATTTTTATATATGCCAAGTTCATTTAAAAATCCCCATTGTAGCTCCCCTTCCCCATGACTCAGCAATGAGCTTGAGTAGTTATAACAGTAAACACTGGGGTTCAATCGCTATAATCCTATTATGCAGCTTTGCGTTTAACAATAAACAACTATTTCAAAATAATTAAAACGAGAGTTAAAGTCAAGTGAAATATTTTTATATGTAGTATGTGTAGCCATTGGCTATAAGCCGACGGTGGCTCAGATGTACTTATAACCCTAAATATTGGGTGGCAGAGCATAGATAGTTTGTTGTGTTGCTTTTTGCTTCTTCCAGAAGTGAATTATGTGTGACTGGACCAATTCTTATATTAAAAAAATCTAAATCTATATACTACTAAAACTCTGAGATTGTTTGTGTGTGTGTGCTTGTCTATAATTAAATACAGCAAAAACGGCGCACAATAACGCCATATTTGTAATGAAATGAGAATAGAAACAGAATAAAACAAGTTTCGTAAAAATCGGGCCACGGGTTACCGACGTTTTTCGGGTCAGTTTTATGAACATTTCTAGCATGAGTAATTTTACATCACAATACTGTTCGTCTCTTTACGAAATTTCTTCGTTGAAATCTATTTCCCTGTCAATGTTCCCATCTTCATTAAAAGGCGTAAGATGACAAAAACAAGATCGTGAAGAATTTCTCAATAATATGCCTTGGTTATGGTAGGTAATTCGAAGAAAAAATAAAGTGTTACTGTTTCTTATTTGTAGAAGGTTTAAGAGGAAAGACCACAACATAATGAACTAATTCATCACAATACCTGAAAACTCTTAACTTAACTTTTTTGAAAAATGGAATGGTGTTTCCCTTTACTCCCAATCAACAATCAAATATCTTTTCTTGAATTATGAATAACACGAATGGATTGAAATATTTAATTAAATTATCTCAAAATAAACCTT